TTTGGCTACACAAAATAACATAACAAAATTATTTAACTGAATACCATAACTGCATGACACAACATAAGATATTACTGGTATTAAAAAATATGAATCCAACAATTGTACCAGAAGCTTGTTCTTTTAAGGGTTTTTGGGAATTCTTAAACAAGGATGGCATAATTGGTGATTAATATTGCTAAATAGAAATAAGGTTTAACTATTGCTTTTAAAAAATGGATGCTGATGTTGTCTAATATAACTTCGACAACACACAAAAGACCACACACTTTTTTGATAATTAGGAACTTATTGGTTGCAAGATTTATTAACCAATAAATGCAAAGAAATAAATTAAGTTCAAGTTATAAAGCTAAAATTTAAGCAGTTTATTAAAAATTTCTAGATTTGAAAAATCAAATAATAATAATTTATATATTTGATTTATAGAAATAATATTTGATAGATATTTTATTAATAAAAGTACCAAATCTAAAGATTAATGAAACATTTCTCCTTCTTAAAAGATTATGTTAAGATTAAAACCATTGTTAAAACCATGCTACTGGTAAATACAACCTGCCTCATGTCCTGTTGTCTGTAGAATTCACTTTTCTAAGCAAAGGAAAGAAGAAAAGTTAACTCTGACCTAAATTTCCCACTGTCTTGGTACTCTTGGTTCAAAAAAGACCACAGATGGAGCTCAATAAAAGCACTCATCTTTAGCATATGTTTACTGTATCTAACTACTGTCTTATAGAAGGCTTCCTACAAAAGGATTTTATGGTTAAGAAGAAAATTTATGTTCTCCAGTCTCACACCTTTTTATCCATTCATTTAATAGGCTAGCATAGATATAAACCTAGTTAGTTTGTTTTCTGCTAGGGTAATTTTATGTGAAAACATCCAGGGCATGCAACCTTAAGTTTCAGATTTTGTTGATTTTTAAACTACTTAAAGATTTTAGTAAATTATGAATATCCTAAAAAAATTATATCTTCTAATTTCAACCGGTTCTTAAGATATATTTATTTTAACCTTTTTTAATAATGGTTTTGGTCCTAGTTTCCTAACTGAACTTTTGTATTTATATCATAAATGAAAAAGTCCAGTTTGGAAACTATATCCCTTTTAACAAAAATATAAAAAAGAAATTTTTGGGAGAAGTAAGTTCCTCTGTAAATCATTATATTTAAAAATATTAAAAATTAAAATATAAAAATCATAAAGCGTTTATAGAAAAATCTAAATGCTTTCCTGAAAAAAAATTCTGTGACAGTTAGGTAAAAATATATCTAATCAACTAATATATGAAACTTGGTTAATAAATTTTTTTTTTCTTTAGAAGTTCTCCTCAGTAGTTAAGTTATATTTATTACAAAGAATTTGAGAGAATTGTACCAAATCTAAATGATTTTGTTAAGACTAAGACAAATAAACTTAAAAAACAAATAAAGACTCCAAAACGAATAAAGTACTTGGAAAAAAGTTTAAGAAACACAAGTAATATAAAAAATTTAAAAATTAAAAACTCAACAAATTAAAATTTATTAGTTATAGTGTTATAATCATTCACATCAATCTTATATGTTTGCCCTGGTTTTGTTGTTGGGACATTGATTACTCAAATCAATCTCGACAATGGTACCCAACAGATATCATCTCTGTAGCCAAATGAAGTTTTGAGAAGGATCATGAGGGCGCATAATCTTAATTTTAATATCATTTGCAGTAATGACTATCTCTATAACCAAGCCTATCCACCAAAAAGAATCATACTTGCATGCAACAAAATCATTTAGATTTGGTACAATTACAGCATCAGACATTACTGCTTTTGACAGTATAAATCTGTCTACACAATGATGCTCACTTGTTCTTTTAAAACTAATTTCAAACTTTGAAATGAATATGTAATGGTTGTAACTTCTGGTCTCTGAAACAGTTTTGTCCTTTAGTTGCTGTTATCTTGCTTTTACTGTTTCTTTGGTAATTTTATAAAATATGATTGTGTTTATGTTGGTGATGCAAAACTCAAGCATATCATCAACTGTCAATATTTGGTTTTCCAATGGTCTTTGTAAACTTGTTCTTGCTGGTGTTCTTTTAGCAGTACCACCTATGCCACCGCAAGTGAATTTTCCATGGCTGGTTGCAAAAAAAAAAAAGAAAAAACAGCCATTCACTGTAATCTCAAAATCTTCTTTATGGTGGCATAGATTTATAAAATTTTTATAGTTTTTATAGTTAGCAGAACATCCATTAGAGAAAGTTGTTTTTTTATTGTTACCCACTAAATATTCTTTAATTAACTCTACAATTTTCTTTTGAAATTCATACTGAAAACATGTATCATGATCATTTTTATCACTTAAAAAAAAAGAATGATTTATGCTAAATATTTGTTTTAGAAATTTCCCTTAAATATATAACAACTGGATGTGGTGTAGATTGTTATTTATTCCAATGGTAACTTTGTATTTCATCCTGTTTCACAAATTTATACTTCTCTGTAAAATCAGCTAGTATAATACATTTTACTATAAGCTAAACTATTTTTTAGCTCTTTCAAATAGTGAGTTTGGCATTAAGCAATATATGAATGCGAAGATCGTTGATTAATGTGAGAAACAATTAGTTCTTTATATTCAAATAAATTAACTGTCTGTACTTTCCCATTGAATAAATTGAATTTCTTCTTCTTCGCCAATCTCAGAATATTCAGTATTCTGAAGCATATTTTCTAGACCAAGACTCAGGTATAAGAGTTAATATTTAAATTTATCTTTTAAATGGTTCAACTTTTTTTTCTTTCATTAAATTTTTTAAATGAGGATAGCTGAAAAAAGTTAAGGCTACACTGAAGTATTCTATATTTACTCCATAAACACTTGCTAATCTTTCTTCCATTTTTGTGTTGGCTTTGGCTAATTTTTTTTTGCTATTACATTTCTTTGATGCTTTTATTGGATATTAAAGAGTTATCTAAGTTACTACAAGAAATACCTTAAAATTCCACTCCATTTCATTACTAGAAACTTCATCACAGTTTGACAGAAACTGACAAAATTTCCATCCTGGTTTACAGTCTACATTTTTGGTTTTAAAGTTACAACCCATTTCAGGAGATATGACCTAAAACAAAATCATTAACTTTTAATAAACATTATCATTCTTTAATAGAAATTTTGGTCCTAAAACCTGCTCATGATGATAACAAATAGTCTATATCTCTATGTATGATGTAGTCTCTAGCAAGCAAGACCTCCAAATATAAGTGAAAATCCTTTTCTAGATTACAAAAATCTTTTAATCCTTGTTATCATACAAGTTATATTTTGTGACATTCATCATTTAAAGCTTTCCATAAGATTCCATTTTATCAGTATACTATTTATTATCCCTAAAAAAAATTAATTCAATGCATGCATGTGGTCAAGGTTGTTCAGGATTCTAACTTTAATTTTACAACATTATAAACATTTCTAAATAATTAAGCTACTAAAGAAACCAAAACAACAAGTCAACAACAACTAAAAGAACAGTTTAATATAGCCAAAACTGTTTCAGTTACAAAATTGTCAAGTTATCACCTTTTTTTTCTCGTTTGATTTATCAAAATACCTGTCATTTAAGCAAGAAACTTAAGTAGATTTGACCATGTTTTTTTTTTCTGTTTTTTATTTATTTTTATTTCTGACCACTCTGACCAATTCTTTGTAATAACTATTACTTAACTATTGAAGACACCTAAATAAAAAAATAATAAAAAATCAAGCTACATTGCCATTTTTGTGACTGGACTTGCCTCAGTAAAATTATGTAAATGTTAAAATTTTAGGTGTTTTGTTTGTTTTTAAATATTTTAAGCTATTTCCATGAATTCCTTGCCCCAAAATATGTGAAGGTACACATTTTCAGCTTTCCAAAAGAAACTAGGACCAAAACCATTTTTAAAAATGATGTTTTTTTGTTAGTTAAAGGCAAAGTTAAAATAGCTATATTTTAGGAACCGGTTGAAATTAGATGACAAAATTTTCAGGTTTAATTTACTAAAATCTTGTTAAAAAAAAAAAAAATAAATAAAAAGTAGTTTAAAAGTCTGAAAAATCTGAGATTTAGATTTTTAGATTTTAAAAATAAATGTTTTTACATGGAATTGCCTGCTAAGGATGATGATCATGGATGATAACAATAAGGATCTTCTTGACTTTAATTATGTGTTTTTGCTTGTGCCTCCTTGTTGTGGTTATGTAACTCTTTCAGTTATTTCATAATAAGGCTACAACACTTAAGCTCAGTTTAATAGTTCTGGCCTGCTGATAGTAAGGTTTCATGAACTTTGTGGTAGCTCTCAGAGAGATTGGTTCCATTAACAGCTGTAAAATATCAGAGTATTACAATATTATGTTGCTCATGGAAGGTCTCCCTGTTAGTGTATCTGATATGTATTGTTGATGCTATGTAAAGAGTCCTTTGTTACAACTTTGGATTTGTAGCAATGAGGTAACTGCACACCTTATTGATTCTACACTATGTATCACTAGGGTTTCCTACACTATCACTAGGGTCTCCTACACTATCTATCGCTAGGGTCTCCTACTCTATCTATTACTAGGGGCTCCTACTCTATTTATCACTAGAGTCTCCTACACTATCTATCACTAGGGTCTCTTATTCTATCTATGATTGAGTCAATTTATTTATTAATTTAAAACATGAATAAAGTACATTAAACAAAAAAAACATCAACACAAAATTTTTTTAATCTGTGTTATATAAATATTCACGATCTTCAAAGTTACTTTTTAGCAATTGAATCTTACCTCCTAATCTTGCAAAACTCACAAAACCTACTTGATCTTCATAAGACTGTTTCATCTTTTGATCTTCATTTAAAATATCAAAATAATATTTTTACAAATAATATTTTTTATGGCTTCAAAATAAGACTTAAGACTTTACTACTTTTTCATTATTGTGTTGAATAATTTTTTTATTTTAAAGAATATCTTATTTAGAGAAATCGCACTGCAATACATATTGCAACAGAAGTTGGTAGCATAGAAATTATCAATTTACTCATTGAGAAATGTCATATTGATATAAATCAGCGTTCTAAGGTATAAATTGTATGACATGATATATAAAGATATAAAATTTTCTTAAATACAAAATATAAAATGTGCTGTACCTTATATTTATATACTGTAGTATATAAAATTTGTAGTAAATCTTGATGATACTTGATTTATATATATATATATATATATATATATATATATATATATATATATATATATATATATATATATATATATATATATATATACATATATATATATATATATTTATATATATATATATATTTATATATATATATATATATATATATATATATATATATATATATGTATATATATATATATATATATATATATATATATACATATATATATATGCATATATATACATATATGTATATATTTGTATATATATATATATATATATGTATGTATGTATGTATGTATGTATGTATGTATGTATGTATGTATGTATGTATGTATGTATGTATGTATGTATGTATGTATGTATGTATGTTTGTATGTATGTATGTATGTATGTATGTATGTATGTATGTATGTGTGTATGTATGTATGTATGTATGTATGTATGTATGTATGTATATATATATATATTTGACATACTTAATACACATACTTTGCAAGGTATATTATCTAAAAAAGTATAAATAATGTTTTATTTTTAAATATATGTAATAACCCCTTTTCTTTAAACTATTTTTTGTTAAGGTTATTACTTTTTATTATAAGGATGGAAGCACTTTAGTTCATTTAGCAGCTAAGTCTGGGCATGCAGAAGTAGTAATGTATTATATTCAAAAAGGTGTTGCTGTTAGAACTCCTAACCGTGTAAGTTAAAATCTTTATTGTTTTATTACTTGATAGGTTATAATCAAGTAATATTTGTAATATTTGTTTAGTTTTGTTTATTAATTTGTTAAAAGTACTTTAAATAAGTTTTTATAAAAATTTGTATAAATTTGGTTTAAAATAAACTTGTCATAATTAGCATAATTATGACAAGATTATGATTAATTTAAACCCAAGTAATTATTTATGCTAGGTTGGCATAAATGGAGTATAAAGAATTAACTGTGCTGCTTGTGTTGTGAAATTTAAAAATTCATTGACACTCTAATTGCTTGAGTTGTCTTATATTGTCAAATATAGAAAACCAAAAAATCATGAAAATAAAGATATACAAGCTATAATATACAATTACAATTAACTGCTATTTCTAATTACAATAACAAAATATTATTTTGATTATAATTTTTATGTCGATTTCAAATATGTATTTAGATTGACTTTTTGCTATTATTTGTAAATTTAACTAAAAGCTTGTATTTGTTTTCTTTTTTTGATAATAAAGTTTTTTATGACAAGGAACTAAATAAATTTAAATATTTTTTAAAACTCCTGTGCATATCAATTTTGAAAATGGTTTTATTGAAAACCTCTTGACTTTAATAAAATTTGAAAAACAGTTTAGTCAAAAGTTCATTACTTTCTTTGTACATGCTTGTCAACCTTGTCAACCTATACATGACAATACCATATAGAAAGCATATGGGAAGGGAATTGAAGAAGGGACCTAAATTTGTGTTTGTTGATATCTTAGGGTACATATATACATATGTACTATATAAATACTTGAGCATAAAATAATCATAGAATAAAAATCAAGTATGAAATATAACAGTTATTATTTTTTTGAGGCAACTTTTATGTTTTAAATTTACTTGGATTTTTTTTAGGAAGGAGCAGAAGCTTTACATGAAGCATGCAAACAAGGACATGTGGTAGTAGCAAAAAAACTGATAGAAAATGGAGCTAAAAAAGAAAAATATACCAAAGTATTTTTAAAATGTTTTATGAATACATTATTATCATCATCAATGTCAATCATTACACTATTATCATTTTGCATTTTGTTTTTTATTGCAACAAAATCATTGGCACATTTTTTTATTAGATCTGCTTTGTTTATATTTTTAAAATGTTTTTTATAACATTTTTTTGATCATAAAATGAATTTTTAGTAAAAATGTATTTTATTTTAGGTGTGTTACTTAAACTGCACACCAGTAACTGACTTATTTTACACTATCACAGGTTACATTACTAGAAACTAACTTGTTTTTCACTACAACATGTTACATTACTTTTAACTGACTTGTTTTTTACTACCAAATTTTACATTACCAGTAACTGACTTATTTTCACTACCACAGGTTTACTCACAGCTAACTTGTTTTTCACTGAAAAAACATAGTTCTAAAAAGCATAATTTTTATGGTTATATAGAATCAGTATGTATACTTCTCTATGTGTGTTATATGTTTAGTATACAAATGAGTGTTTATATCACACTAATGTGATTTTGCAGTTGTTTTTTTATGTGCACATTTATCTCAAATAATCAGCAGTTCTATGTTTGATCATTTTAAAATCAAAACAATTTTCTTTATACACACCTTTATACAATAGACATCATTTGGTATTTTGTTTAGAGAAACAATCAGCAACACACGCATCTTTTTTTTTTAAAAGTAGATTGATCAATTGGGACCAAATTCTTCCAAAACAAAGTTAGTTCATTTTATTGTTTTATTGTAACATTTTGGTAAAATGAAGAAAAAACTGACTTTGTTGTTGTTGGAGATCTGCTCTGTGGGACACTCATTCAAAACCTTTTAAAATTCTGCAAATGTCTGCAAATGATCCTAGATTGGTTGACATAGAAGTTAGCATTTATGTTCTTAGGCTTTTGTCTTCTTCTGCAAGAAGATTACAAAAATCTTATAGTTATTCTCTTCCTTCTTCATCTGTAAAGTTTGTATTGTTTGTTTTGATATTTTTAAACTAACTTTAACTTTTTCAAAATGTAGAAATGGGTACAGGTAGTTTTAGATAGATTTATAAAGTATCATTTAGATAAACCTAATGTTTAGTTTCAGAAGAAAGTCTTGTTATGTTTAGTTTTAGAAGAAAGTCTCCAATAATTTCAGATACAAAAAATGAAGATAAAGTTGATTTTTAGGTTTTTTCACATTTGATTTTGATGCTGAAAATAAAATACAAAAAATAATTGGTTAGTGGTAAAACTGTGTTGGTCTTTTTTAAACTCTTAGACACTTCAACAATATCTAGAAATTTCAGCAAAAATGGGTTTTTGAAATTAGTGCATGAAAGATATTTCATGTGGGCAGTGGAACATGAATAAGAGATGAAATGATTGATGAAATTGGATGCATTAAAAAATAGCAAATTATATAAATCTAGACAACAAGATGAAGGGAGTGAATTCCATATAACTGATGTTCGAAGAAAAAAAACTAGACAAATAAGAATTTTGGAGCACTTAGGAATAGTTACAGTAAAAGAATGAGACTTAATTGAATGACAAGTAACACAAGAATGAATTTTAGTAGATTACACAAGTGACTCTTTAGAACAGCACCCATTATAGTATTTATAGAAAAGAGAAGGAAAAGCAACATTATAATAAAGTGACATAAGTTGAGGTTGGCTGCAAGAGCAGGTCCAACTATGTTTACAATGGGTTTTTGCCTTCACAAAAAGAGAAAGGACATCATTAGAAGATCCGCCCCAGATATGGCAATATTCCATACAAGGACGGATTTGAGATTTATAGAGATAAAGAATAGAATCCAGAGTAAGAAAGTGTCGAGTACAATAAAGAGATACAACCTTAGCAGATTCTAATTTTGCAATGGATTTAATTTATGGTTGCAATGAATTAAATTTATGGTTTCCAAGAAAGATTGGAAGTGAAGAAGATATGAAGAAGAGTGCTTTCCATCGAGGACAAAGTTTATACTATGATTGGTAAATAAGAATTCAATAATTTTAAAGATGGGACTAGATACACAGTAAAAAGAAAGCTAATGTAGAAGATCAGCATGCCAAAAGCTTTAGAAATGTCAAAACTGATAGCCTTAACCTTTCCACCTCTATCTAATGCACAATAAGACCTATTGGTTTTTACTGTTAGCAAATCAGCCGTAGAACAAAAAGATCGAAATCTATATTGATGATCAGAAAGTAAGTTATTAGATTCAAAATGAGAGATAAAGTTTTTGGTTATTAAAGATTTAAAAACCTGCTCATGATAGGAATTGGACAAATCAGATCACTCTCCAGAATTTTTGAAAATAGGGATAGCAGATGCCGCTTTCCAGCAGGCTGGAAAAGAAGACTCTGATAAGCACTTGTTAAATAGTTTTGAAAGTATAGATTTTATTTTAGAAAGTATATTTTGAAAGCTCTGGAGAATCACTTTAGATACAGAAGCTGGAGTGATATGAATGTCAAGCAATGGATCAACATCTGCAGAGTCACTGACACTAGAGCCAAGCCATTCAGTGTGATGAGCATTAAAGTCAACAACAACAACAATATTGACTGATGGATAAAGAGAGGGCTCGTTTAATTTGGTGAAAAATAACATCGAAAAGAGTGCAGTTTTGAGATAAAGGAGAGCGATATAGAGCAAAGAGAAAGGCGATAGAATGAAGCGGTGCTTAGGGAAAACACATAATAGAATAGTCAGTGGATTCTAACCTAGTTTCCCAACAAATAGGTGAATTCTTATAAATGTATATGCCCAGGGTAAGTATGTGACTTTTGGAGTCTTTACGAATTAAAGGAAGTAACCATCAACACTAAGTTCACAAGATGAGACAGCCGAACTCAAATTAGTCTCACAAAAAGTAAATAGGTCTATTGAACTTAGCAAAAGCTGAGACTCAACAGAAGAAAAGTTACTTTACTAAGAGACCACGAATATTTGTGAATGATAGGTTTAGAGAACTATTGAGATTGGTGATGACAATAGTTTTTTGTGTTTTATAGTTTTTGCTACTTTAGTCATTTTTAAATTTGCTAAAGAACTTGACTCAAAGCACAGACAGTACTCAGTACACTATTTAATAGTCCAAGTAATTGCCTCATTACTATTAATAAACCCTAAGCTGTAACAAAGGGCTCCGAATATGGCCTCGACAATGCACACCAAAAGTACGAATAGGGACACCATCTATGTGTAGCATGGCACTGTTCTGCATCACTACCACAGAGTTTGGGAAACCTGACTACCAGCTGGCCTCAGAACTGTAAAGCTGAGTTTTAGAGCTGTACCCTCATTAGGAGATAATAGATTTAGTTGCCTAGTCATAAAAACAGAGACACAAGCAAAATTCATGCATTGAGTCAAGAAGATCCAACATTAAACATCCTAAACTGGAAACAATGTATTAAAAATACATCTGCGGCAGTCTAATAGTTGAAGAAGGGTTGCAGGGGTGGTCAACAGATAGAATCTGTTTACTCCTTAAATTTTTGCCTAGGGAGCCTTCTACAAGACAGCAGTCTTTTGCGTTTAACATCTGTCCAAGTTGAGTTTTTTAATTATTCTGTTAGAATGAATGAATCATTCTGTTAAGAATGTTTCATTTAAAAGAATTTCTTTACATGTATCAAAATAAAAAAAGTTGCTGGATTTTTATGCATCTTGTTTTCTAGACCAAATGTAGTTATTAGATTAAGCAGATACACAGACATTGACAATTCTCCATTGAGCTTCCTGGCTGGTTATTGTTTAATGCCATAGGATGTGTGCTTCTCCAAACAAAAAAAATAAAAATTATATTAATAGTAAATAGTATAATGTAAGTCCCTATGTTGAAAAGAAAGATAGAAATTGCAACACTGACCCGAATATTGAGCATGGATATATTGAATATCTAAGCCTACAATTAACTACTAAGTGTAGCCTATTGTGTTTTTAAAATCAAACATCTTCATTAAAATCAAAAGATTTTATCTATAAAATCTTATTTCATCTCAAAAATAGACCTACTTGCTCTTTTTGCATTAATTGCAAATTGAACCTGTCATTTTGAAAAGAGCACAAGTCCATTTATCAAAACTTTCCAAAATCAACAAAAACATGATTTTTATTAAAATAATGTCTACGCTGGTAAAAAACTAAACATAGAAGTAGATAAATAAAGAATGTATATAACTTATATAATTTTTTTTTTTATAAAAAAAACATAAATCATACAGAAATTTCTAATTTAAATTTATAAACTAACTGTTAAAAGTTTTGGACTTGTGTCTTTTTCGAAATGACAGGTTCAATTGAATGCTTCACTTTTAAATTTCTCTCTTAAATATCTTAAAGACTCAAATTTTCAATAGTTTGGCTGAGGTATGTACTTATGTACATATTTGTTACATAAGTAAATACATTTTTATTTTAATACCCACAAATCTTACTCAACTTAAAACAAATAAATCTTTTGTCAGCTAACATAGAATTCATTGTTTATAAAGAAAAATGTTTAAGTTATTTTTTATTTTATTTTTTTATTCACTACTGTCGAGGAGGCTACTTTATTATGATTACAACCCTCTTGCAACTATTTAACTCTGAAGCGTAACCCTTCAAGATTAAGGCTACTGTGCAGACAAATAAGCTGAGAAGTTTCAAGTTCGATCCCTATCACATCCCAGGTAGTACCATACCTGGGACGTGATAGGGATCGAACTTGAAACTTCTACCACCTCACCATTACCACATTAGTAAACACAGCTTTTCAATGCAGAACATTTTAGTTGCTTTGCAAGATAATCATATAATCACCAAACTAAATATAAAGTGTCAGCTGTTGCATTATAATAAATATGTTGAATTATTATTTGCTTTTAGGACAATTACACTCCGTTACACATAGCTGTGAGATATGGAAAGTATGATGTAGTTCAAGTTCTTATAGGAGCTGGTGCTGATGTTAATGCAGTTGGAGGACCTGTAATTTTAAAACTTACTAATTATTTTGATATTTTTTGAAATAAGGACTTTATTTACTTTTTTATTATTTAAGTAAAAATAAAATAAATAAAAAACAATTAAGATTAATTTTAAAATTTATTTTATTTACTTAATATATAAGCTAATTTTTATTTAATTATTCTAATTTTAATTATTCTAGTTTATTTGTTATAATTTATTTGCTATTTTTTAAACTGTACTAAGTTTTAGTGTCCGTTAATTTAGAAAAAAGAAAGTTCATTACATTTTGCTGCAAAACTAACAAGATATTCAGAGAAATTAACAGATATTTTAGTGAGAAGTGGAGCTAACACTGATATTGCAGATTCAGTAATGATTCTTATAGTGAAACTTTTTTTAATTATTTTATTGCTTGAAATCT